TATTTGTGCGTAGAATGTAGTGATTTTTTTGTATTGGAAGTAATACGTGCGAGTAGTACGTGATAATATTTGCCCTTGGAGTCTATATTTCCAATTATTAGAAAAGGCGGCGTTTAACTAAACTGTTGACAGATACTAATCGATAATAAATTAAATAATTATATTTTATGCTGTTTTAGTATCAAAATGTTTTGTTCTTTTCATTCGTTTTTTCATCATGTTTAAACCCAATTTTGGACTGCACTACTTGGATTTTTCAGAATTGCAGTGTCTGAAGTAAAACTAATTACGGGCACTTACCCACATATTTTTTGTAATGAAATGAAAGTCCTGGAGCCATGCATTTTTAAGAGGTCACCTTTTCATAGAAAATTTCCATATGGAATTAACAATATGCGGTACGATGCAATCAGTAAGTAACAAATTAATATGCCGCCTCATAAATTACTTCATAAGGAAAAATCTGTACTCAGAAACGTAAATTTCCTACGACTTTTAAGTGTATTATCATTATTTCATAGATACAACCAGTTAATTGTGGGTGCATATCCTTTATATGTTGTTGCTATTACATGTTACCAAGACTGAGAACATAAGGCTTTATGTTTTCTTGATATCAGTTATTTTTTTCTGTGATTTGAATTTTCTTCATGGGTATTATATTTCACCAGGGTTATTACTTTTCGATTTTTTAGAATCGCGAAAAACCAATAGTCGGTAAGAACATGAAATATATCTGAAAGTATTTTTCCTTGATTAGTCAAAGTCTTGTCTGTTTATCTTGTTTTTTTATAATTAAAGTTATAGTATTACAGTTCACTATCATGGTCTATCATCGTCCGACTTATGACACAGTTAATAGTTGTCTAACTGTAATTTTCGAGATTTAAGTAGATAATAATTGCCTTCTCGAAGATTTTTTCACTTTTTCGTCTCACACAGACTCCTATTAAAGCCACGGTCATGTTTTACCGACGAAAAACCTTAAACTCTGTAAGCGACCGGATTCCTATAACAGAATTCGTGTAAACGAGTGGTCATTGCTATTTGTGGCTGTATTTCCCAAATTGTGATTTAGTGTACTTTCATGAAAGTAAATTTGTTAATTTAAGAAGTAATATATTTAACAATATTTGGCAGCCATTAACTTGGTATAAGTCCAAGACATTCGACATTTGTCAAACATTAAAACTAAACAGGCTAAATACACCTTTAATCAGTATTTTTCCGGAAACGTCCTGTTATTAATTGATAGTATATAGTTTTCTACTGGATTCGTCTCCAGAAAGCCGCAAGTCGTTGCAATTTGACTGGTCAAGAATTTCATTCATTTCACAAGAATAGTTATATTTCACTATTGACTTCTTCTGTTTCTATTATGACTTAATTAAGTAAGTTAGTCATACTATCGCCCTCTTTTATTGACTATAATTTCTCCCAACACCTATCTCACTTTAAAAGAAGATATATATGATAAATGATCATAACTTATATTTTCTCTGGGAGTTAAAAGCCATAGGTTGGCTCCACCTCCATTCGATTTTGCATGCCATCATTAGTAGGGGTAGACGAGCCATGATTTTACGTCAGAGCGTCTTCTTTTCAGTAGCTGTTCCTTGGAAATATTTCAGCAAAATCTAGTGAAGGCCATTTGCTGTAATTACGAGCCTCAAGGTCATGAGTAAATTCAGGGGCACTCAATGACGAGAATGTAGTTCAAAACCACTTAAACAAAGCACTGTTAAACGTATTTTAGTATTTAAACGGTAGATATAGGCATATTTTTATCCCCTAAAAATTTTTCATCTGTTCGGATTTCCTAGCTGAAAGTCTAGTGATCCGAAAATTATAGGGATCAAAACTTACCGTTTCGACAATTACAAATGTTCTGAAAATTCTATATCTCAAATTGTCTTCCGAACAGATATTTTCCTAAAATTGACGTTGGGTGCCCCTGTGAAATGAGCTCAAGCCAAACAAACCTACAAATCAGTACCACAACCAGCAAAATTTTTAGTTCTAAAATGTTTGACATCAAGAGCTTCAAAATGGTAAGCTTGAGTCCATGGTCAAAATAACGGGTGGCCATTTTCGATGATGCCACTGGTGCCGGGTAGCGAAGGCTATATCACTATGACATTGTTTATATCATCTTGTAGAGCTTATTACAGGCTGTCTTTTATCTTCTTATCTTTGCAAAATATTATAACACTGGAAAAACCCGCAGAGGTGGTTCCACGTTCTCCTGCCTTAGGGCCTGTTTAAATGGAGGTGGGGGACCCCAGGTAGGTGAGGTAACCCGCTAAGGTGGGGTAGCCCAGCTGTCCATATAATCTCTCATTTTAATTTGATCACGTTTACATGGTAGGTGGGGTGAACCGCCAAGGCGGGTATCTAGACCGGGTAACCCTCTCAGCCGGGGTCAAATTTTGCCATGTAAACGTTTCAAGGTGGGGTAACCCTCCTAGCCTCCTAGTCGCGCTCGCGATACTGAATTCGCTCTAAAGTCACTTTGGCGGTGGCTTTGCATCATTATCAAAGGTAACAATAGAATGCCACAGCTCTGAAGCTTGCAGCAAGAGCAGCAAGTGAGTGTAGAAGAGCATTAATTGCAAAAACAAGTGGCTTGCCAGCATTTTTCTTGTTTACGTGCTCAGCGACCATTCAGAAAGTGTACCCGGGATGGCGGGGTTGCAAGATTGCATGTAAAGGAGGGTTATTTTCTTACCCCTCCTAAACGGGTTACCTCACCTATCTGGGGTCCCCCACCTTCATGTAAACAGGCCCTTACACCACTGTTGGGGGTATGGGCGGGCTTGTACGGAACAATGGTTACGTCACAGATCATTCCTGTGATTAGTAATAATAATTTATGGAAATATTGTATGCGACGAGTGCAAACTTGAACAAACATGGTCAAGTTGTTAAGTGCGGCTCAGTTTAGTTTTCTTTCTCTTTTTGCACGATATTTGACGTTAAATAAAATAATGGGATATTACGTATTGAAGACTGCCGACAAGGACGGACTGGAGCTATCACTGATTATAACAGCAGCTTTCATTGGTACTCGATCGTAATTAATATGAATCAATCTGTTATTAGAGTTTAGCGTCAACTCTATTTTATGCCCGATGGTCAGCGGAGATAAAAAGAAAAGAAAAAGTGCATTATTACTTGTGCCATAAACAATTTCCGCAAATGGCGTTTGCCATTTACACTGTTAAAGTTCGAAGCTGATGTCAAGTTCTCTTGAAACTTTACTATGACATGTCTTGCGCATTATTTGCTAATGTCATGGTTACTTCAATACTTATTTTTTGACATGTTTATCCTTTTTGTCAATGACATCAGAGCTTTTCATTTAAAAATTCAAAGGTCATGAAAGTCATACAAGAAGCTTTATGGACCAGAAATCACCTTAACTACCTAAGTATGCGTAAATTAAATTTAAATCGATATTGATAAGAAGCTGTTCAGCACACTGTGGCTTAAGTATTTTCAAAGGCGCCGTCCCCTTTTCTATTACTTTAAACTCGCATCTTCATCAACAAGTACAACTAGCCCTCTCGGCCGGAGTGATACAGATTTGTCAGACTGCAAAAATAGTAAAGAAAACATTTTCTACAAAAAGACGAGCTCCATTGTGGATGATGTTGTGCAATGTATTCCAAGATAGCAAATTACTTTCTCTTCTACTTCATGTCGTGCATCATCGTAATGAAACTTTATGGAGTATTTTGTGCAGGTTAGTAGTCTTTCGCAAGCCTTGATGTTAGTCTAACGTTGATTTATCTCAGTTGATCATTCCTTTTGTTTTGAGGGTCAGTTCACATCTTCTGATTGTTGTAGTCTGGTGCCTCGAAAATGAAATCGCAATGGAGTCAGTAATTCATATTATCTTAAGTTATGTTTTTGGACTTACTTAACGTTATATTTACAACTGCTCAAAATCACTTTATGCACTCAGTTTCACCTTTCGTAGTTAATTTTTAATTTTTTTGTTAATTTCTTATTGTTCCTTTGTTTTAAATTCATAAGCATACATCACCATACCCAAAAAACAATGGAAAAGCAAAGTGATCCAAGTGATAAGTTCAAAATAAACTACAGTCTTCTTCTTTGATGCCCTTAAGTATTTTATCATATTTAACAGCACTTTGTTTTAACAAAGGCTCCCAGTCAAATCTTTGAAGACGTTCTCGAACATTCCCCCTTTAACCGAAAAGCTCGAAAGTAGCGTTTCTTGTTATTCTACGATTCAGCTGTTGTTTCTATTCATTTGGTATTATTAGACAACGGTAACTCTTTCACCCTGGGGGTGAACAACAAAGTTTTATACGGGGAGGCTCTGCCCCAAGGTCCAACCCCTTACCCTTTTAAATAACATTTTTGACAGAAAAGGTACCCCTTTTTGTATACTTTCCATTTAAAAAAGGTATCCCTTTTACACACTTAGTACAGACGTTTGCACATCCCTTTTAACTGCTATTAATGCACTGTTTTTTAAATATGAATAAATCACAGAACCAGAACGTTTTTGCGACTTTTTCCCAGCCATAAAATGCATCTGTTAGACCTTTTTGGGCCTTTTTACAGACAGAAATGACAGATTTCCCTACCCTTTCATATACTTCAAATACTGAAATCCTTACCCTTTCATATACCTGAAGCCTGAATTCCCGGGGAGCTTCCCAGTAAAGGCCATTATAAAGAATACCCCCCGGCTCGTACAGTAGAAATACTATTTAACATTGATTATATTTTAACAAACGCACCGCTTTCATGTTACTTCATTGTGTGCATGGTTCAGTGGACAAACTGCTTTGATGTGGTCCCCTCTGGTAGTAGTTTCAAAGGAATCCGTGAATCAATAACGGCGATCTTGGGAATGAGAACGTTAACCGGGGTAGGGTTGGGGGGAGGGGGAGGTCGCTTCTTTCAAGATTTGTTTACAAGCTTGCCTATTGTCCTTACTTTGGGAAAACTCGATTTAGGTGCTTATGCCCACCAACAACCACTTTTTACTGTTCAAATTTCCTTTAGATTGCTACGGACCTCTGGGAATAGCTGATGGTCGCATCAACGAAACTCAGATGGTAGCCAATTCAATTTTTAACAATAATAAGACACTGTACGGACCTGGTCATGCGAGACTAAACCGCACAGGTGGCTACCGAGCACAGCCTGGTTCCCAAAATAGTCCCGCACTTACGGTTAACTTTCGCAAAGCTATGATCGTTACAGGAATTGCGACTCAAGGTTACTATGGTGAAAATATACAAGAGTGGACCAAAGGATACAATTTAGGATATACATTTGGATCCAATACACACTTCTTTAAGGAGAGAAACAGAATCACCACTAAGGTAAATAGACAATACTCTTTTAATAAAGGCCGAGAAAGGGCTGGATGCGAATGTGGACTCGCTTTCTTGTCCACAGTCAGGTCAAAAGCAAGATACAGATACAAATCTTGTTACCATCCTCAGTGGCCATAAAGTATCTAACAACTGCAGTCTGTTAATTTGATTGTAATTCCAATATACGGAGAGAATCCGAAACCTGATCAGATCCCAGAGCACTCATGCCACCAGCACCTTGCTGGCTCAAATATAATGTACACAATCTTTAATATATGACGGTTTTACAGATTCTTACTTAGACACATTTATTTTCAGCAATTTAAAGGTAACGATGATAACAACACTATTGTCCTGCACTATGTTCCACTGCCAGCAATGCTTACTGCTATCCACGTGATTCCGACTGAGTGGGAGAACAACTTTGCTATTCGACTTGAACTTTACGGCTGCATCGCAGGTAAGTGTATGTTAGTTTGATTCTTGAAGGAAATGACGCCCCACCTTAAGTCGCTGATTCTAAAGCGACAGAGGGCGTTCCGTGAACACGGTGCAGAATCATGTAGTTTCAAGTTCTATAGGAACGTAGTAAATCGTGAAAGAAAATCATGCAAAGCCTCCTTCTATAAGGTCAAAGTGGAGCACATGAAGGATGAAAATCCAAAGCTGTGGTGGAAGGAGGTTAAACGTCTAAGTGGATCCCAATCCAACTCGGGCAATGTTATCAATCACATCTACATCGAAGAACTTGAGGATTGTAACAACCAGGAACTTGCAAACATCATTAATCAGGCTTTCCTTGAACCACTCGAAGAATATCGCTTGGAACAGCCGTTGACCAAGTTCCCAGCCCCTACTGACTCGCCAAAGCTGCATGAGGTATCCGAGCTGAGGATAATGAAGCTGCTGGCTACACTGAATCCATCAAAGGCGTGTGGCCCGGATGAAATACCTAACTGGCTCCTTAAAGAGTATGCTGAGCTGTTGGCTTTTCCAGTCTCTAAAGTCATCAACTCTTCGTTTAAAGAACAGCGTCTCCCGAAGATCTGGAAGTTCGATGATGTCTCGCCATTGCCAAAGTTGAAGCCGGTGGAGGATCTAAAGAAGCACCTAAGGCCGATTTCTCTCACTCCTTGTCTTTCGAAAGTTGCTGAAGAGTGTGTCGTAGTTGACTACGTGAAATCCGCCGTACTTAATGTTCTCGACCCAAGCCAGTATGGCGCTGTGCCGAAGTCCTCCACAACTCAAGCACTTATTCTCATGCTTCACCATTGGACCAAGGGATGCGATGGCAACGAAGCAACTGTTAGGGTTACACTCTATGATTATAAGAAAGCTTTCGATCTCATAGACCATAGGATTCTTGCTAATAAGTTATGCAAATTAGATCTACCGACTGAAATAATCAATTGGATCATAGATTTCCTAAGTGATCGTTCCCAGAGAATCAAACTCTCAGAGGGATGTTACTCCGAGTGGGGATCAGTCCCATCCGGGGTACCCCAGGGGACGAAACAAGGCCCGTGGTTGTTTTTGGTGCTCATCAACGGTCTAGAAATCAATAATGCAGGCAATATCTGGAAGTATGTTGATGATACTACTACATCCGAGATCGCTGCGAAAGGAGCCAGTAGCAATTCCCAATTGATTACAGATACTGTCGTACAGTGGCCTTTTGAGAAAAATGTAAAGAGCTTAGGATTTCATTTGCAAAGAACAAATCACAACTCCCGCCTATAGTAGTAAATAATCAAGAACTAAAATGTGTTGAAAGCGCCAAATTACTAGGCGTTACGATCTCCAACAACCTTACATGGAACATGCACATTGATCAAATCATAAAGAAAGCTTCTAAACGTATGTATTTCCTAATACAATTGAAAAGGGCCAATGTCGCAAGGCATTAATTAATTCTTTTTCATACATCTTGTATAAGGTCAGTCATGACCTACGCATCACCTGCGTTTTTCTACGCCCTGCCATTTGTATTTAAAGAAAGATCTAGAGAATGTAGAGAAACGGGCACTACAAATCATTTGCCCGGGACTCGCCTATAGAAAGGCCTTAGAGCTTTCCAATGTTATGTCTATCAATGACTACATCGCTAGCTTATGTAAAAAGACCTTCCTCTCGCTTGCTAGTGACCCGGCCCATCGCTTACATAACATGCTTCAATCGTCAGGGCCGTCGTGTTATAATCTTCGGTGCAAAAGGCGTTTTGCGATTCCCAAATGTAAGACCGAGCGTTTCAAAAATAGTTTTTTAGTAAGATCATGTATTGGTAACGAATTTTAGCGCTCGGTGAGTTTTGTAAATGAGATCGACGACGTTGTAAATATTTTAACAGTTTTAAGCTTTTTTATTTATAGGATGTTATTATTTATTTAGGACTTTTTCATTATCATTTTATTATACTCGCTATTGTAAGATTCTGTTATATTATATTATATATTATATTGTAAATACACAATTCAGCTTAGTAGCTGCAAGCTTTTTACAAATAAACTATCTATCTATCTATCTCTATCGAAATGTTATGATACTCTTGTTAAAAAGAGATGCAAGTTACTCTTTTTCTTACAACACTGGGTTCGGTCGCGCGCCGTTCCCGCCGAGTCGTCCCGATTCTCCATGAAAATAAATTGACGGTAAGGCTGGTAAAGTTATGATAATTCAGGGTGAGATAATGTTATCTCTTATTTCACAAGCAATTATGCAAACAATTCTGATTGCATGGAAAAAATGAAAACAATGAATACATGGTGATAAATCTTCCTTCTTCATGAAAAGAATCATTTTCTAAACTACCATGAGATCCATACTTGCTTCGGATTCCTTGTTCCTCTGTAAGCCATGATTTATGGAACATTTACGTTTCAGATGGAAATGAGTGCGAAAGTATTCCCTGCCAAAACAATGGAACTTGTTGGGAAAAGATCCGAGGCTACCAATGTAACTGCACTGCTGGATTCAACGGCACGAACTGTGAGATAAGTACGTTTGTGTCTGTAATATTTTCGGTTGACTTCTTTTAGAAAGTCCTTGTGCATGACGGTTCTTTGTTTATGTTACAGGTCAAAATTAAATTCAGGTTAAAAATTTTAACCTAGTTTGATTCTCAATTTGCCCTAGCCCTAATTCATGAATAATCAGGGCTAAGAGACAAAGAAAATTGAGAATCAACCAAGGGTAAAAAATTTTAACCTGAATTTAATTTTGACCTATAACATCTATATTACTAGTCTCATTGACCATAACAACTAACTAAAGATAGTACGCGCGTTCTGATTGGCTAAAAACCTATCGTTCATTGTGCCGGTAATTTCATAGGAAACTTAAAGCTATTTTATAAAAGCCATAGACCACACTTTCTTTGGGTTTACCGGCGTGATAACCCACTTGGGACGTTGGGAGAACACTCGACTCCCAACATCCTAAGTGGGTTATCACGCCGGTAAACCCATAGAAAGTGTGGTCTATTGCTTAAATATATAGAGACCTTAAACATCTCAAAACATGAGTCCTGCAGGGATGTCAGCGAACATTCATCACACTCGCCTTAGCTCTTACCAGCGGTGGTACTTGTAGCTTTTACTGTTTCTAGCTGTTCAAATCTTTTCTTTCCTCAGACATAGACGAATGTGCTAGTAACCCTTGTCTTAACAATGCGACATGCTCTGACCAAGTGAATGACTACAGGTGTCACTGCTCGCCAGGGTACTCTGGGAAATCCTGTGAGACTGGTATGTAGTAGCAGCAAGTGGGTCTTGTAATCTGTAATTCATGGGTATTTAACATAAAACTGAAGAAAAAAATGTTAGTTCAGGTTCTAATTCTTACAGTAAACGTCCGTATCATTTTACGATTTTTAATTGACGATTTCTCGCAAAGTTAGTTCATTCACACAATCCGCTTTTTCCATTGCCGTTGAAGTAATTTTAAGGGGTCAAGTAAGAACCATAACTCGTAAATCTCTTTTGCTACTGGTGTACCTCAAGGATCAATAGTAGGACCATTGTTATTTATCATTAATGATTTTTCCAAGTATTCTACGTATTTCTCTACTAGATTATATGCAGATGATTCATCTTTGACAGCTTCTGAAAGCGATCTTGACAGCTTACTATGTGATATTAATAATCACTTACCAGTTGTCTACGAATGGTTATGTAGTAATAGGCTGATCTTAAATCTGACTAAAAACTAAGTACCTTATTTTTATGCATCCGGCCAAAAGGAAAATTACAGCTTCTTTTTACCATTAACTTTTGCCAATGTCTGTTTAGAAAAATCTTCTTGCGTCAAATATCTCGGTGCGTATATATTGATTCACACCTTAACTGGCATGACCTTATTGACTACATAGGTAGCAAAATTTGCAAAAATGTAAAAGTTAAAGCATTACGTTTCAACTGCAACACTTATTAGTCTGTACTATTCTCTTATGTATCCTTAACTTACTTATGTTTGTATACTGTGGGAAAATAATTATAATGCTCCTCTTTCTCAAATTATAAAATTTCAAAGCAAAGCTGTTCTTATTACCAATGATGCTCCTTTATAATGGAATCAATAAATCCACACTACGTGTCCTTATAGGCTTTTTTAAATTTCCTGATATTGTTGAACTGAAAACATGCTTACTTTTTTATGATTATTTCTATCATGAAAAGTTTCCTAATTTACCCGTTTCACTAGCAGTTGAGGTAAATAATTATAATGCCCGTAATGCCTCTTCTGATCAAAAAGCTTTATCTTTACCTCAGACTAACTTAACAACCGGTCAGAGATAAGCCAACCAAAAAACGTTTAAAAACGCACTTTTGCATTGGTATCTCGCGCGAAGCGCGCGGGCCATAAATCGATGGAAAAAAACGAGGATCCGTAATTTACAGTACGGACTGAAAAAACGAGGCTAATAAGATGTTTATTATATGGCTTCTTCCTGTTTGGGGGACCGGAAACAAGTACAGGACGCACGATTTGGCAGTCATTTGACAGGCGTCAAAAAAGAAAGTTTTTATTGGCGAACGAAAACAATAGCACATAATAAAGGTTTTCCAAGAAAGTAAAAACAAATTCGCCATGTTGAAAAAGTTTATTCGGTCAAAAGTAAGAGCACTGTAAGTTTTAGCTCTTTAATGTAACGCTGGAGTATTTTGGAAACCGAACACCGTGTCTGTCTCGAAGTCTTTTCCATCTTTCCTCCGTTTGTCCTTGTAAAAAAAAAAAAAAACACTGCATAAGGCAAAGAAGCTTTTCAAGATAAGTTTGTAATCATTTTCGAAGGATTCGCTGGTTAAATGTTTTTGGGAAAACCTCTCTTTCTGCCTGTTCATTCTCGTCTTCAATTATGATCTGCCGTTAAAATTTCCAAACAATGGCTAAAATTCTCTTCCTCGGTAAGGTTACGATTCAGTTTGTACATCAGCTTCGTTCTCATTAAAACAACGCTGGGTTCAAATTTGGAAAGGCAAAGTCAACATCCCAGTCCTCAGGGTTTATAGACATATTTTAAAGTTTATTCGGTCAAAATTTAGAGCACTGTAAGTATTCACTCGTTAGTGTAACGCTGGAGTCTGTTGAAAACTGGACATTGTGTCTGGCTGGAACTCGCTTCCATCTTTCTTTCGTTGGTCTTTGAAAAAACACGGCAAATGGCAAAGAAGCTTGTCACGATGATCGGGTGCAGGTTTGTTTGTTATCATATTTGTCGAAGGAATTACTCATTTCTCTTAGGTAAAACATCTCGATTCTCTGTCAGTCGACTTTCCTATTCTTAACTGTGTACTGCGATAAAATTGTCAAACGCTGTCTAGAATCCTCTTCAATAAGATTACGAGTTAGTTTCTTCATCGCCTTCGTTCACAAATAAACACAGTTCAAAATGTTGAAGGCCAAAGTCAACATCTAAGTCCTCAAGGTTGACAGGCGTCTTATAATATAACTTTATTTAAACCTTTTTTCCGAAGTAAAGAGATTTAGAGCTCCGAAATAAGCATTTTCTTTAACAATTTTGGTCCGTATAGCAAGTTATGGACAGCAAATTGACCAATCGCATGGCGAAAACAGACTCAGCCGTATCATAATTTCCTATATTACGTTATTTTAGGGGTTATATAAGTTGACCTACAACCCTGGTCAAAACGTTTTGGGACACTTGAGGAAATTAGACACAAAGACGCACTTTGCTAAATAAACTCATATCCTACCTCTTAGAAACGCATGGGGATGTTGCTATAAGGGGACGCTAAGGGGCTATTTCTTCTTTCCCCCTCTTCCCCAAGCAGTTTTGATTGTGTTGAATTAAAACTTGAATACATAACGTCAACACTGCATCGAGGGGAAGGGGGGAGGGATGATGCGTCAATTTGATGAGCTATTGCGTTAGTATCCCAAGAACTATGACCAGGGTTGTCTGAAAACCCCTTCTATATATAGGATAACGAGTTTTAAACATTACGAAACTTAGAGAAAAGTTGTGGATTTGTAGGTATAGCAATCTTAAAATAGTTACCAGGTGTTACCTTGTACTATTTATTCCGAGATCGGAGGCGCATAGATGAACGGTTTCGAATGCATGCTTATTAAGTATCCTCAACGTACTCAAGGGCAAACTGTGCAAACATTACAGCAAAAAGCATCGTGGAGCAGAGTGGGCTTAGTTTTGAAATGGCAAGTACAAAACATTTCCACATTATCCAAATGAGAATGGTTACGCATATTTATAAGCAAAGAAAAATGGGCTTCTAAGTGAAAACAATCGCAAGTTGCGTGTACGATTCGGCGCTCGCAAAAACCTGAAACGTCCAGTTGCGGAAAATCCTCTGATTTGGACGAATGAATCGAAGTGGCCTTTTATTTAGATGCCGTGTCCTTCGTCCAGAAATACAACGAAACATAAAAAAAAATCACTGATATGGCGACAGAAGGGAGAAGGCCTTTCGTTTTTGTTAGGTGATACTAATTAAGGTTCTGAGGACTTGGCTGATGCCATCGCTTGTAGAAAAGGGGTAACACAAACTGTACCTAATGAGAAAATGAACGGCAATTTCTTGGTGCTTAGTTGAATAGGGAACCATTTTAATATGGCGTTCGGTCGGGCAAGGCCGAAAAGAAACGCAAGAAAACTCTTTTTAATGGACAACGACCCAGACAAGGAAGCGTGCGAAGAAGGCCCTAGAGGATATACTGAGACTGATATGCATAGAAAATTTAGATAACCAGATCAAATGTTACTTAGATGAAGAGGCTGTAACACAGATTTGTACAAAGGATTCATTTGAACAGCTTAATGTATAAGTTTAGGAGCGTTTGATAATTGATTATTTTCTATCCAGAGAATATCGATTGTCTCATATCGAGTGCGACTCACAGAATTGAAACTGTACTTGTGTCTAGAGGTCACCGAACAAAATATTAACTTAGAGTGCGCTACTGTTACAGAAGTCCTCACTTTTTATTGTATTCCCCATGTTACTTTGCTTAAAGGGCAACTTTGTAGCCCTAAAGAAACTTTGATGTCGCTAGAATTCTTCTGTAAGTTACTGTTAGGAAAAAAGGAATTGCGCGGCAGTTGCTCTGAACAGTTTTCAGAGCAACATGCATGCTCCCCCGGGAAAATTTGAAATTGAATTCTTCTGAAATGGCTAGAAATGGATCTAAAACTGCCAAAAGTGAAGTTAATTTTTAATTCTTATAAAACAACGAGTAACAAAGTGGCCTTCACGTTTGACCAAATTTAAATGAATAGTCTAACTTCTAAGCTAAACCCAACAGACGCAACGGATGAGTGTCACCCTGACAGTTTTAAGTCGAATTCTTTGAAGGTGCCAAAGTTGCTTTTTCGATTTTCATTGAGAGCTGCAAACTCATTTGCAACATCTATAAGACAAAGTTTGTCTGTTCTCTGCTGGTGGGTATTAAGTATTGTCAGTTTGCTAAATCTTGTTTGTGTCATCGTCGAGCGTAGCCACGTTTTCAGTCTCCGAGCAGAAGAAAAGGAACTCTCGCCTGCTGCACTGATTGCTGGATTTACAAGAAGAAGTTTACATAGGGTTATGATTTCAGTTATCATACACGTTTCGGCGTCAGAAAGCTGCTTGATCTTGGCTAAAATGTCATCAAAACTGGTAAATTCTCCGTCCTTCATCAACACCTTAAATATTTCCAGTTGAGCGTTCAATGTTCTAACATCAACAGCCAAAAAAGTGGGGGCCCCCTCAGCCCCACACCCTGCGCGGTCCCTGTTCTTGCATCATTTCTCACTTGTTTTATGGGCCGTCTTGTATGAAATGCAACTTATAGGGAGCTATATTCTTTAAAATACACTCTTGGTAAAACTTATCATTGTGTTAAGTTTATTTTCCCTTCGTTTCTTGTACACAATAAGCAAGTTATGGGGGCTTTTTAAACATTTCTCACCTAAATGACAGTAAAAGATTAATTAAAACTCATTCCTTTTTTGTTAATTCTGAGTTGAGAAATGTTGAAATTTGTACATATTTCCTGGAAAGCGCGAAAAAAATGCCAGTTTAGGGGAAATGGGATCACACTGACTATATTTTCGCCTTGATCGGGGTAAGAATTTCGCATAATACGTTTGAAAATCACTTTTCTTTAGCGAGAATTGAGAAATTAAACGAGACTTACCTGTAAGTTGAAGTTTGATTGGAATTCTATCGAGTCATCAAACTGCACCAAGGGATCACATGAGATAGCTAGACGCATGCGCATAATCAGTATTCACAGCTGAATGTGAGTGTCTTACAAACAGACACCCATAAAAGGGGGTAATATCAGAAAGCCAACCGAAGTAAAACCTCAGTAGGACAAAGGGTGGGTACGACAAAATCAACCATGACTGGTTGTACAAAGGGTGGGCATGTGATCCCTTGGTGCAGTTTGATGACTCGATAGAATTCCAATCAAACTTCAACTTACAGGTAAGTCTCGTTTAATTTCTCAATTCTATCTCGTCATCACTGCCCCATGGATCCCATGAGACTTTAAACCAAGACAGTCACATGAAGAAAAAACCCAAAGTCCAACTGCAAGGTGTTTAATGCATAAACAACCCTATACAGTACTAACAGTAACACAGACTGTAGCCCATAAAAATAAAGAACAAAAAACGCTTACAAATAATGCTATATGAACACACTGAGTAATAGAAACAACAGTGCTGAAGCACAATAACCCTGAAAAAACCTCTAAGTTGTAGGAACTAATCAACGTTATAGGGAATCACTAAACAGTAGCAACAGGGCAGAGAAGCAAAGGCCCTAGTCCTTGTTCTAATCAGTCTGAAGCACTGCAGAAGCAAAAGTGGAGGTACCGACTGGCTTATTGTAGAAACGGTCAAAACACCTTGAGGACGACCATCTAGCTGTACGCAGGATTTCATCAATGGGGACATTTGAAGCTTTGGCTTTCGACGTAGCTGCAGCTCTTGTACTGTGTGGTTTGAATGCACTGGTGTCAACACCAGACGACTCCATTATCAAACGAATCCATCTAGAAATAGTTTCCCTGGAAACAGGTTTGTACGGTTTGATGAAGCTGATAAAAAGTTTACTTTCCGCTCCCCTTAGTGGCTGGGTTCGCTTAAGATATTCTGCCAAGCAAGTAGACACACAGAGTGACAAATCAGCAGGATAAGCTTGCAGGAGAACAGATGGAGCTCGGTAACCAGGCCTACTTTGTTTGACATGTTCCATGAACAAGAATTCAAATCCATTAGTCACTTATTTCATGCAACCAATGTAAACATTGTCCCCTTTGTGCAGAGACCAGGGCTATCAGCATAACCAGCTTTAGAGTGAGTAATTTTAAATCAAGCTTCTCTGGAGGGTGAAGGGAGGAAAGATAAGTTAGGACAGGCTTTACATCCCAGGTTGACCGGTAGCGTGGAGTTGGCGGAGAATCCTTGTAAACACCCTTCATAAACCTGGAAACAAGTGGGTGACTGCCCACAGTCATGTTACTCTTGGGTATAATAACTGCTGATATGGCACTCCTGGCAGTATTGATGGTGGTGTAAGTCAATCCCTTTTCATGGAGGCGAACGAGGAATTCTAAAACAGCGGTTACAGGTGGATCATAGGGATCAGTCTTCCATTTACTACAAAAGTCCATCCACTGTTTGATGTATGGTTTGTACTGTTTTTGTGTTCCGTCAGACCAGGACTTGAGGATGATTGCTGTAGCCTTGCCTGAAACATTTCTCTGCTGGAGACTTTCCCGGAGAGCATGGAAGCCATCAGTCTCAACTGTCGTCGAAGAGGATGTAAGGCATGGTTGTGTGGTTGTGTCAACAGATGAGTCGACTGGGGGAGAAGAACAGGATTGTCTAGTAACAGGTGAAGGAGAGGGGTGAACCAAGGTTGTGTCTGCCAAACAGGAACGAGAAGGACACCAGTTGCTTGATCTTGCTCTATTTTCTGTCGGCAGGCTGCTATAACACTAAAAGGGGGGAAAGCATAGAAATAGTACTCCTTCCAACTCATGAAAAATGTATTGACATATTGAGCACCAGGGTCAGGTTTCCATGACACATAACTAGGAACTGTAAAATTAAGTCTGGATGCAAACATGTCGATTTGAAAAGGGCGCCACAGTTTATCCAAGTCTGAAAAGACGTCCATGTTTAAAGACCATTCAGTTGAATTGTTAATTTTCCTAGATTCAGTGTCAGCATCTACATTGGTAGAGCTGGGTATGTGGCAAGCACTGATCCAGATGTCTCTTTCTCTACACCACAGCCAAATGTCCTTAGACAAACTGTCACACTCTGCAGATTTGATACCCCCCATGTTATTAACATTTGCCACTGTGGTTGTATTGTCAGACTGAATTCTTATGTGTTTGCCATGAACATGGCCAAGAAGTGATTTCAACCCCAGCAGAACTGCTTTCAGTTCCAAGTAGTTAATGTGAAAAGCTTGTTCCTCTACATTCCAAAGACCACCAGTTTTGTGAGCCCCATATACTGCACCCCAACCGCTAATACAGGCATCTGTTGTAAGAGTCAGGTCAGGGTCTCCCTGGAAAATAGGTTTAAAGGAAGAGTCTACATTGTTCACCCACCAAGCTATCTCTGATCTAGATTCATTTGAAAGATACATTTGTGCATCATAATTGCCCCTACTTTCCTGCAGAGCAAGAATTTTATTCCTTTCTAGGCCCTATAGTATAGTTCCCCAAACTGAAAGGCAGGGAAACTAGAAACCATCAACCCTATAACTTGTGCCACTTCTCTAATAGTCATTTTACTTTTGTCCAGTAAACTCTGGCAAGCTAGCCGTACACGTTCCGCTTTAACGGGTGGGAGTCGGATTGTCATGTTTACACTATTCAGCAAGAAGCCAAGAAATTCCATTTCTTGTGTTGGAATCAGGACTGACTTTTCTGTGTGAACCACAAACCCCAGATTAAGGAAGGTATCAACAGTGTCCTGTATATTAGTGGCACAGGCAGTATAATTATATCCCAAGAGAAATGAATCATCTATATGCCCCATACAGATATTACCCAAAGATCTGAGATGAGAGTAGACTGGTTTTAATATTTTTGTGAATAGGCGAGGAGCACAAGCCAGGCCATTGGGCAAACAGGTATATTGAAAATAGCTACCTTGCCACTCAAATTTCAAGTATTTCCTATCCTCTAGTGCAATAGGAACAGAATAATAGGCGTCCTTAAGGTCTACCGATGCCATAAAGCACCCGGGACGCATGAGTTTGAGGGCTGTCTGAATCGTATCCATTTTAAAATGGTAATAGGATACAAATTCGTTGAGTTGTTTAAGATTTAAAATCATTCTAATTTTCCTTGGGACGCACAAAAATGGTAGAGATAAAGTCACCCTGGACACGGTCTATTTGTTCAATAACTCCTTTATCGAGGAGCTTGGTGATTTCCTCAGTAATGATCTCCCTTTCAGAAGGAGAAAATGGCATTTGTTTTGGCTGGTAAACCTGAGAAGGAGAAACATCCCCAAAGTCGATGTGATAGTGCTTTATAGCATCTAATATGACAGGGTCAGTAGTCAGTGACTTCCAACCTTCAACATGGTCTTGTAACCCTCCAACCGAGAAATTAGCAACCCTTTGAGACAGATTTGCTTTATCAATGGGTAGTTTTCTCTTACCTCTGTTTCTACTGGGTTTTGTTGGTGGGTTGACTTGGCTTTTTCTGGGCACTCTTCTGTGCCCGGCTGTAGCCTAAAAAAGGACGCTGCTGAGAAGTTTTCTGACGGGATGGTCTGTCATAAGGTTTAAAGTTTGGACGGCGAAATTTCTGCCGTCCTGCCTTGAAATAGCCTTGACTTGCCGTTCAAGTTTCAGAAGTTTTCTGCATTTGTCGGCCAACTTTCTTTGCCTCAGCCATATCCTTCAGATGTTTGGATAAATCATCTCCAAACAATTTTGTTGAAGGTTTAATTTCAATCTTTACACAGCCTGGTGTATGGAGGGTTAAGTTCCGGTTTTATCAACCCTCGCCGTGCCATATTGAGTTTAAAATTGGCATTAGCTAGAAGAGCAATGCTATCCATCACGTGATCCAAGATTTAACGTGTATTTAATGTTTTGCCAGCGTTCAGGTCCTTTACCAACTGGTCTCCTAAAATAAACAGGGCTGACAAACCCTGAACAAGCGGTTCTTGAACTCGCTGGAAAGCTAGGTCAACCGTTCTGCTGCGTCGTGGCAGCAAATCCCAAATTTCTTCGTTGACGGTGGTGGTGGACAGGAATTTACAATTTTCTGGAGGAGGATATTTTTCAACTCGTTCTTTGATTGTGTTTGGTGAGAGACCTCCAGTAACCATGTTGTCAATTAAACCAGCATTTTTTTCTGCTATCGCAGGAGATTTCTCTTTGGTTTGCACAAATGCCTGAGTCAGGCTTTCCAAAATGTCATCCTGCGACCCTGAGTCAGGGCATGATGCAGGTTTCGCCGCCACGGTCGTACTGGTATGCGTGTCGCTCGGGTCGAGCACATCAGTTAAGGCGGCGTTGAGGTCAACGCTGTCATTTAGGCTCTGAACGGCCTCTCCATCCTCGTCTGAGTCAGTACCAAGGAGAAGGTCTTCCTTGAGAGTAGCCAGCATTGCTGTTTGTGTCTCTGAAGCCTTGGCAAGTTGTGCCAAGGTGGAAGTTAATCCTTCGAGGACTGACATGTTCGTGTCCTGAGAATCTTCTATGCCCTTGCTCCTTGTATCGGACGCCAGATCCGCTCCATCCATGTCGTGTTAGTGATTCAACCCAAGAAATAGGTTCAAATTTGCATAAAGATGACAAAAGAAATAATTTTCTTTCGCGTATCGAAACCTCGTGAGAATACCGAGTAAGCGCGCGAAAAACACTGATTATGCGCATGCGTCTAGCTATCTCATGGGATCCCTAGGGCAGTGATGACGAGATAGAAATGTTACTGAGAAATGTGTCAGTGTCTCAACGCGGTTGCGCCCATAACCAACGACTATACGTTATGACATGTACCATTCTTTGCCTTGAATTTTCCAAGGATTCTACCTCTAAACTCAATTGATGATCAAGTCGTTATTGTACCGAAATCACTAAACTGCTAGCACTCCTAAGAAAAACGATCATTTGTATTTGAATTTTTGAATAGATCGTCAGTGTGACCTTTCCGAGCGTCCCGTTTGGTCATGTGACCTGCCCTAATCAGTTTAAATAAGGCGATAACAACTGAAATCAACTTCTTTTACTAAATTGTAGCACTATCTTTTCAAGTCGGAGTTCACTGTAAAACAACGTAAATAACATGAAAACACTTTTTCGTACTTTTCCCCACAAATAGACCCCCAAACCATCTCACACATTTGCGTATACTACTGTTGCAGTTATAAAACCTTCCAAAATAACGCATAACTTAAGCAGAAAGTACAGACATGGACTTTTGGGCAGTTAATATGAAAAAAGGAACAATTTGAGAACACGGAAAATAGTATAAGTCTGTATTTTTATTTTAAACCCATTTTCAGACAACGTTGTAGATGTGGCCCTCTCCTTTCCATTCTTCATTCTTTCTTCTTTTTGTGACAAACTTATCTAAAGTAATGATCTTTACTGTGCTTTATCACATATTGTAAACTTTTTATGACTCAAGCTCTAACGTTTGTCTCTAATTTATCTTGTACTATTTATAATGGATGGAAAAAATAAAATGAAATGAAATAAAATGAAATAAATATCTAGGGTTGCCACAGGACTGAAAGAAATTAGACAATTTATAGCGGAGCTCCACAGCTAAGGAAATGTGGTAATCTACCATCCGAGAAAATTGGGTAATCACGTGACCGTAAACCGAGCGAGCGAGCGACCGTCCGTCCGCACCACAGGCATACCAATGTACAATAACTCAATCAACAGCTATGGCAACCCAAATGCAACTCAAGGTTTTATTTGGAAGGAAATCACATGGCCGCCCGGACTTTTAGACAGAAAAAAAAAAAACACAGTCGTGTCTTTTTCGGCGTTATTTTTTATGTTTGCACTAACGTGGATAACAGAGAAAGAGCTGGAGCGACTTATTGAAAATAAAGGCGACGAATTTCGTAGGAAGAAAAACATGGAAATTCAAAGCGGCGGTGAGAAAATGAGAAATGCTAGCGGCCAGCGAGGTGAAAATGAGCGGCAGTGAAAAATAAAAGCGAACACGAACACAGGAAACAAAATATTGGGTAAGCACATACGACAATTCCTCCATAAAAATAATGTGCAACTAAGAAGTTTGACGTTTTAGCCGTACAAAACAGCGTTGTAGTCGTGCAAAAGAACGGCAAGGGAAAGACAAAAAAGCGTGCTAGTTTGCTAGTTAGATCTATTAGTCTTGAGGCCATTTTCATTGTCGTCCCCGTTTAGCATTACACGATTTTTTTTTACACGTATTATTAACCAGAGCTTCGCTTTTAGCCCTGGCTAAATCTATATATTACTACCAGCCGACGATACGAATACTCAGGACCAAACAATTACCATCTCTGAAACCCGTTCGAAAACGTGTACGTCTTATTTTAGCCGAGGTAGCTCATCAAGTCTTCTTTACCCTCTGACCACTACATTAACTCACGGATCGAATGCAAGGTTCATGAGGGTTGTCCTTATGTAGGAATCGTTCAAAGCTTGGGCTTGTCTGTTGATTTCAGTGAACTCGGTATATCCTCAGTAGGTATCTTTCCGTTTTGTCTTGCAGAAATTAATGAATGTTTCAACAATCCATGTCGTAATGGTGGTACATGCATAGATCTTGTGAATGGTTTTGCGTGCAGATGTCCTGTTGAGTTTGCAGGATCATGGTGTGAGAAAGGTGAGCGTTATAATCGATCGTTTGCCAGTACGGTCTAACAATCACGTTTTTATTTTGAATTATTTTGAACTTCAAGTAAATGATTTCCAACCCCATATTGGAGAAATGGGGTTATTGGGCTCTCCTCAGGTCTATGTGGAACCTCACTTTTCATCTTTTTTCATCGCCGTTTTATGGGCGAGGGCTACCTGCTAAAAATGTGACATCTGCTTCTAATTTCCAATCTGTTCCTCATACGTTTAATTGACAATCTGCTTCAATGTTTGGTTTTCCAGAAACTGGATTCTTTTTGGTTGTGTGGCTAAACCTGAAGAACATGACATTCACCTTTCCTCTTGCAAATCAAAGTTCCACTCAGTATCAAAAGACAGAAAAGGAAGTCCTCGATGCGGTATGAGTAAAAATGATCTTAATCACAGAACATTGATATAAGCACTTCCACTACTTCCCTCGTGTTAGTGGAACAAACTTTCTCCATCTAGCAGTCCGGTTGTTTGTGACCGATCGTTGTTTTGGCAAGAAATAGTACCTGAATCGCTTTTGTCAATACCAGTATTATTAACATCAACATTGGTCGGACCATTAATGCATTTAAAAATGCCACAGTCATTCTTTTTCAGTATATACTTATTCCTTTGTTCTCCCGTTGCATGGTCAGTTAAGCTGAGGCACTCCCACCAACTCTACCCAAAGTCCATTTTTTGGCTCGTAAACTTCCTGCATTTTATTTCTGTGAACAGATAGACAACATGCTGATTACAGAAAAAGGTCATTTCTTTGGTCCCGCTTTAAGGATGTTCAGGTGGGTATGCCATGCTTGATGTGTTAACAAGTTTTAACCACGTAAATGATGGGTTTGTGGGAAGGAGAAACTGAAAAATTGTACAAAATTGTGTTGTTCCAAAGAGGCAACTATTAAAAGCGTGGTACAATGTTTTCCTTGCAATTTTGTGTTTATAATTGGTGTTCTTTTTGCGTTAACAGTAAGGCTATAGAGATTGAGTGGGTTGCTGATAGTAAGGGTTAATGGGTATGCTATAGCTAGGATTTATCATCTTTTGCGTGGAAGCGGCTTTTTGTAACCATTATTCCTTCGATTGAGATATTTTGCATTTTAGTTTGTGTTTTTATTGTTATTGTTTCGTACCAGTCCATCAGGCACTCGTTCAGTGACGGCTGAAATCCTTCTCAGTACTACGAGGAACAGCACAAATCACATGATTAGTGTTATCACTCAGAAACTTAAGACTCATGTGGGCATTTTTGATAAGACGTCCAAGTCTTTTGAAAACAGAGGTAGGCAAAGAACATTGTTCTTTACACAGCCATTATTTCTCCCTTTCAGAGAAATCAGAAGAATTTCCCATTTCTAATTTAAAACACCGAAACAGTTTAAAAGTTACAACTCAGTAAGAAAGTCAGAAGGGTCTTTAGACTCAAAACCATTCTTCCTCATTCTTCCTTGCTTTATCTATGTTTTCAGATACATCAACTACGTGATCCTTGTCTTGAATTAAAAATTTGGAAAATTTGCGACTGAACGCACCAAAGAAGACACTTATTCTGGACTTATGCTATTACCAACGTTCGTCATTGACAATTTCCTTTTTTGTAGGCAATCCCTCTTGCAGTCCTCCCAACATTACGATGTCACTTTCCAAGGACTTTGCAAAACCAACTAAAATGAAAAGATCAGAAAATTTCAAATTTCAAGTGGATTTCGAAGTCGATTGTAGGGTTTCCGGTGTTATTCCAGTAACATATAACATTGAAAGGTACAGCATTGACTCTAATTCTGGATCGTATCAAGGAAAAGTGTTCAGAATAGGCACCACTGTGGGGGACTTAAATGTAACCATTATTGGTAAGAGTTTCGATTACGGACTTTACTACATCAAGCTTACGGGATCCATTGAAGGAAAGGACGAAACCAGGGTTAATAGCTTTGGTTATGTAGAAGTGACATCCACAGCGTTAGTTGCTAACATAACTGGTGCCACCCAAGCATCTCAAGGTATTAATAAAATAGTCACCCTTAATGGCTCACAGTCACATGATCCGGATGTAGGGAAAGGAGATTACTCGGGGATAATTTTCACTTGGCTCTGTAGAAGAGATTATGAGCTGTTTCCTAATGACACTGCCTCACTTCCAGTCGTCCGTCCTTCTTCCGGGTCAACTAAAGTTTCACCTGACCAAGGTGGCTGCTATGGCACCGGGGTAGGAAAGCTTGAATCAAGACCTGTAGCTCCGTACATTGTTGATCTTGATATCGATAAGATGAAGGGAGATCAAGGTTACATTATAGTGCTGGTCATGACTAAGAGGGGACTTACAATCACCGCTGCTCATCATCTTCGACTTAAAGAGGAGATTCACTTGCAGATATTGTGAGTAGCATAAGCAGTATTTATTAAAGCGAATTTCATCACGAGTTCCTTTTATCTCCAAAAAGTAATCCGTGTTCCCTCTATTTGTGACTTTCTTTTAATGGCGTCCATACCGGCGAAAAATGGACTGTGAAAGAGGACTGCTAATAAAATTATGCATAATGATTTAAAAATGAGAAAGCTTTGCTTTCTCATTTATATTTATCTAGAGTAGAAACGCTTTAGCACGAATAGTAGCTTCCATTCTCTGTTAACAATGTCGGTGTAAGCGTCGCCGTCATCGTTTAGTATAAAACAGTAATCTTTGTCACAGGAACTATCATGCACTGCTAGATTCTTCAGCTAATCCCTTTTTCAACCCATTAATTTCCAATTTACAATCAGATTTAAACGCTTGCGTTTCAGTATGGCTTACAATTTACCAGATTCACTTGGTGAAGTATATAATCTCTGTTACGTTATTTATGTTACTTTATAATTGATATTATTATAATAAAAGTGTTTACTTTGTTGTACACAGCTGTGTTCAAAATTGCCAAGGTCATGTTATCCTGTCATCTCGGCTCATCCTGGAAACTAATTGTACAGGCTTGCTGTGTCATCAACTCTCTGTTTACACTTGGACGATGAAATTTCGCAACACACATAATCAAGAATGGCAGGAAGTGACCAACCTTGATGACCTAATACTTACGTACGGAAATTCTCCCAACTTGGTAACAAGGCAGGGAAAATTACGTGGAAACTCCACCTACCTTGTTACAGTGACAGGAGTGACTTCTAAAGGACACAGTTCTTCTGCAACATTCTCTTTCGTTACAAATACTCCCCCGACGGGAGGGACATGCAAAGTTGATAAACCTGAGGGAAAAGCATGGGAAACAAATTTTGTGTTTACATGCACTGGCTGGCATGACGTGGATTTACCGCTGACATATAAATTTCGCTATAACAGCAGTGATGGCATTGAAATGGTTTTCATGTCGGGTACTTCCCACGAGGCTACAGGGAAGTTGCCAGTTGGGGATCCAAGTGAGAATTATAAACTTCAAGTGTGCGTTCTTGTTATTGATGCACTGGGATCTTCAGTTGACATTTGGATTAGTGTAAGGGTAAGTATGAGGAACATTGGGACGGGTTCGAATATTAGGAGTTGTGCCTTTCGCTTTGAGAGATGACAAAGAAATTTTTTCTTGAAAAGAGACATAAAGGGCAAATTATTATGGGGACAAAAAGGCTATCTAATTATACCACCATTTCTGTTTTTAAAAAGCTGTTTTAATATTTCAGTGTATGTTGATGACTTAAATGGATGACTGTTTGCTGACCAACTTTACCTCTCCTAAGGTTATTGAGCCAGTGGTGACAATTCAAACGCTGGAGGATGACGTATCATTGGAAGGACCAATGAACCAATACCTGAAGGACAACAACATCGAGATGGCGGCTCAAAGGGCTACTGCTGTTTTATCAGTTGTGAATCATGCTCAGCAAAAAGAGCTCAGACTCCGCGATAAAATTATGGTAAGATTAGGCTTTCTCAATCGCGTGTATGATTCCAAATAAATTATTATTACACAGTGGAGTCCCTCCTTACGACCACCCCGTTTTATACGACCGCCTAGTTATACAACGACCAGGATTTTATGGCCCAACGGTGGCATGGTCACATTATCGGCGTTTCATTGTATTGGTCTGCAAGATGGCGTCCGATTGACTGGCGTTTATCAGCCATTATTGCTCTTGGGTTAATCTAGAAAAAAAAAAAAACCAGGAATAATCCGTTTTAGTATATACTGAAACAGGTGGATAGTGTTTTTGGCGCGCTCTGATTGGCTACTCAATCAGTGAATATCCTGCACTATTCACTGATTCACCTCCAGTTCCTCTGAGCGAGCGACTCCAAACTCGCGTAAGCTGCGAGCAAAATGCCTTCCCGGTTTGCTGCCGTAACAAACAAAGAAATTTCACAACTAATCAAGCAAGCTGTTCCTGAAAAACACGAAGAAGGTGAGGAAGTTCGGTTTGGAAGTTTTAACAGGTAAAGCTTTGTCTTTATGACTTGAATTCATCAATGAAACCGGTGAAAAAAGTTTTTTGTTTACAAATGCAAATTAAGCTTAAGTCTTGCGTTATTTTATTTAGTTGACTTGTTCATAAATACGCTTAAAACTAAATTTAATAATCTTTATTACAGAATGATTTTAATTACAAAAACAAATCACAACTCCTTTTGAAGAAATTTTCCTGCAAGAGCTAAACAAATGCCTTCAAAAGTTTTATTTGTCGGCAAGAAAAGTCGACGGCCGCGGCCGTTCGGTCATTGCGCGCCAAAATTGTCATCTTTGGCAACCGTAAATGAGTTAAAAATCATCATTTTTGTGCTTAATTGTCCCACTGTTTTAGTATATATAACAATTATTCACCGACACTGAGGTGAATAATTGTTTTAGTGTATACTTAAACAGTGAGATAATTGAGCACAAAAATGATGATTTTTAACTCAAATACTGTTGCCAACGATTACAATTTTGGCGCGTAATGACCGAACGGCCGCGGCCGTCGCTTTTTCTTGCCGACAAATAAATTAAACTTTTGAAGGCATTTGTGTAGCTCTTGCGGGGGAAATTTGTTCAGAAGGAGTTGTGAACTTTTCGTATTTAAAATGATTCTGTAAACAGAGATTATTAAATTTAGTTTTAAGCTTATTTATAAACAGGTCAACTAAATAATTAACAATTATTCCTGGAGCCCAAATGGGCTCTGAGGCAATAGCCCATAAGGCCTAAGGCCGAATCGGCTATTGACTCAGAGGCCATTAGGGCGAGAGGAATAATTGTTCTAGTAAAATTTAACTAGTTGGTTAAAATATCGAGAATTAAAAATTTTTAGCTGGTTAAAAGCTAGACTTTACGCTCTTTTGCCCCCCAAAGCCCGCGGTTTTCGCTAATAGGGGCTATAACATATAGCCTAGTAGTAGCTCAACTAATCAGAACGCAGCGTTGATAATAGACCACTAGATGGATTTTACTAAAGTATATTATTTGATCCCCAAAACATTCTTGTTTTCGATAAAAGATTAATTCCTGAATAGTTTAGACTGTAGTCTTATTCCTGAAAAGGATCACTCGAACGCGATCTAAAGGTGGTTACCTCTGCTCTCCCCTTCATAAGTGTATCTCTAACCCGGTGTAATTTTACTGTCAATAACTCGAGCAACCTTCATTGTGAATATCAAGAAAGAATTAGCTCCTATGAATTTATCCTATGTAGGGCAGAGGGTGTTTTTGTTAGTGAGGAAAAAAGTTTATGACGTGAGACCGGAGCTCTAACATAATCCTTAATATATAGATTTAGCCAGGGCTAAAAGCGAAGCTCCTATTAACTCGAATTTATAATTTAAATCAAACAATAAACTTGTAATTTCCACAAATCGGTTAACTTTAGAGCCCATTCATGTGACTGTTGAGGGAAAGGCTAAGTGATTTTAGAGAAAAATAATTTTCAAACAGTCCAAGCTAAGAGTGAACTTAATCTTTCATCGAGTTGATAGCCTTATATGTACACCCTAAAAATAGCATAGCCATAATGGCTCTTGATCACAGTAGATTACGCCTGGAAAACAAACTCTTGGAAAACAAATTAGGCCGAATTTTTTGCGTTCGACAAGTTTACTTTACAAAATCTTGCCAACAAGTCTGGGGACGTGTAAACCAACCCTTTATACTTTTTATACATCACATCTGAGGTGAAACAGTACCATGAGGCGCTGTTTTTACCATACAGACCTCGGACAGAATGCAGTATTTCACAATTTTGCATTACAAACTGCACTCATTCAATGTTTAGGACGATGGAAGCACGCGTGGGCTAAGCGAAACCGTTAAAAAATGCCGGCGTGTTCTCACTTTTGACAAGCGCCAAAGTCGACTGTTTAAATTAAGATTAATAGAGTTATACGCTTCAACATAATAAAGAATTTATTATGTTTATTTTTTATCTAATGGTTTTATAACGATGTGTAATCTTCAAAAGAGTTTGATACGTGTCGTTTTGACGACTCCTGCAAGCGATTTTCATGAGCGACTGAAAACAAACGGCACAGCGATTAAAATTGCAAACAGACTACTAACAATCAATAATAAAAGGAAAATAATTCGGTGAAACATATAAAGAGACAACAATTTTCATTCACGAAGACAAGTATTAAAGTGTCTCTGAAAATCCTTGTTTATTGTTTATGTTTTAAGCCGGCGTCCCGGTGTTTGCTTTTTTTAAAGATGAACTCGAGGCAAGAAAATCGCTCAAAGCTTTCTTTTACAGCCAGAATTATAACTTTGGAACGTTTTCTTTCTATTTGCGATGAGAAAATGTCTGAAGGTTTTTAAAGTTCTACAAGCTTATAATCAAACCTGATACTCGGTCAGATCATTGTCTCAAATATTACACACGTGCATAAACTGAATAGCCCCATAAACTACACTCGACTTCATTGAATAAGATATAAAAGACAAACATCAAATAAAATAATTACTCGGGCTTACCTTTCGAGATGCACTGAAAACTATCAAGTAAGGCAAAAATCGCTTCAGACTTTTCAACCCTCTTACGCATCAAGCAAGGTGAAAAACGAAAACGATGCCATCCGAAATCGGATTTCCGACTTTGACAAGCGACGTATTTCTCAGCAAAAACCCGATAAACAAACTGGCCATGAATAACAGAAGACTCTTGATAGCAGCTGAATTTCATTTTGTACAATGTTCAGTGGAAAAAGACAGTTAAAAACATCAAAAGTTGACACAAACCTCTGTCAGCTTCAGCTGTCAAAGTAAACAAGTTTCAAGTTTCAAAATTTTCCGTATGAACTCACCTGTCAAATTTTGACCAATCAGAGCATATAAATTGGACGTAGGGCGTGACCAACGCGTGACCTTGGTGAGAAAAGTCAAAAGCAACTGGCATGTCTTCCCTGCTTGTAAAAACTGGCTGAATCTTAGCTTCCAAGGTCAGTTTAAAATCAAAATTTTAATTGTGCGGCACATATAAAACACAACATATTTCATATGAATTTAAAAAATTAAACTTGAGCGTGCAATCATTTGAAAACTAGTAACTTGTCAGCGGATAACTTCAAAAATACTCAACCTCGATGGGTCGACACCTGAGCCCGTGATACGGTCAGGTGATACTGGTCAGCGGATACCCTGTTTTGACAGCTGTCAATTGATCACAACATTGGTGTGCAATATGTGTGCAATATCAGTCTTCCTGTGCTCCCAAACTAGCTAGAAAGTATGGGATTGAACATTGGTTTCCCTGTGGTGCGGACGGACGGGCAGCGGGTGGGCGGTGTACGGTCACGTGATTACCAAATTTTCTGGGATGGGTAGATTTACTTACCCATGGTGCTTCGCAGGCGCGCTTCGCGCGCCAGAGCTCCGCTACTATAATTGCTTTTATTTCCTTAGATCAAGGATTCAATTGTCAATTCATGGTCGACGGTTAACGTTTCCAGCCTACAAGAAGTATCGCAAGTGTCAGCGGTTGTTGCCAGTGTGGCGGACAGAAGAAACGAAGTCTCAATTGATTCCCAGGTAAATTTACAAGGAAAAGAGAGAATCACAATCCACATACATTTCAGGGCAAAATTAATAAGAAATTTCATGAGATGAAAGAGGTGTAAGATCAGGAGCCCATCAAATGGAGCCTCCATCTCCATTAATTTCTTGAGTCAACCCTTTCCCGAGTAGATTTATAAATAGAACGGCTTGTTTCCCGCGTCATATTTCCGTGAGTCTCGTATGTCGCCGTGAAAAAAAAATCAAGTTGGATGAAGTCGTACTCAGAGGCCCGTCCTTCGACCGTTTTCCTTTTTTACTATACGTCCATTTTTACAGTTTTACAGCCGCTGGGATCTGGGATGAAGTAAAAGTTAATGAATTACCCGAGTGAGACTGAGCATGAAGCGATGGGACAAAGGCAGCGAACTGAGGATCACGGAAAGGTTCTTTGCGAGTGTTTGTTTTTGTTTTGTTTTTTTTGCCGTCATACATCCCACATTTAAGCATGCACCTTGAAAAGAGTCGACGATTAAGCGTTCTGTCGACGATTTGAAACTTCTCGATGATCAGCGCCGAAAAAGTGCCAGGATCATTTATTTTTGTCATCGCCGTGGAGTGGATTTCGCCAGTTAACAGCAGTTAAGCACCGTGTGCAAAAGCGATGACCTAAGTAGCAACTAAGGAGGAATGCTTCAGAAAAATTGCAGTCTTCCTTTACAACTGACTTGTATCACCATGAGAGTTGCCTGATAAAACTGGCACTTGAAAAGTTGAACAGAAGACAACAGTTGCTCGACCATGAAGCTAACTCAAAAGTAATTTGCTAACGGTGGAATTTGTGACATCGCGCTCCAGTCCAAAGACCCTCTTATCTCAAGAAAAACAAAATGGATTGTATCTGCGCCCAAAGAATTATGACTGACCAACAGGAGAATTCTCAGCAATTAATGTAGAAGTTTAGGCCAATTCTTTCCTTCGAATTCGCATCTGTAGATCACTTTTTTGCGAGAAAACAATGGCTGGGCTCGGCGTTACAAAACATAGCAGGGAATCATCACACTAACTGACGGACAAAACAACCACAGTATTTATTCAGACAAACGCATTTCGGATAAAAACTTGAAAAACTAGAAATTTCATTAATATTGAGTCATTTAGCCGAAATAAGAACCTTAACGCTCAAAAAAATTGGCTAAAGAAAACGAATCCTGTCAGAACTACAGACTGCAGGTAGTAGTTAATCCTTACGCATGTAACAGACCAGCTTCACGGCCTCTTATAAATTAATGTGAGACAAGCAACCAAAATTAAGATTAACATAGTCAGAGTTTAAAACTCTCCACAGTATAATCTACCCGCTAGAAAGAAAAGAAAGAAAATCTCTGAGGGATGAAAACGCTAAAGTCACGTTTCACTAGCTTATGATTTTGTTTGGCCTGTCAGCACCGGATTTCCTGCTGTTTCATGAAGTACAATAGCAGTGTCATTTAGTCGTTGTGATTGGCTCTTCCCACCGTCGGCGCGCGAAGTCTCCCCTGGGAACCGTTCTAATTATAAATCTACTCGGGAAAGGGTTGACTCCAAGGGCTTGTATGGGAGATGGAGGCTCCATTTGATAGGCTCCTGGTAAGATCTATTATGCTGTATTCAGCGTTATTATTTTGTATTGTATATTTAGAAAGACTCGAATGCAATTTGTGCTACGTAACAAAATGTTTCCCCCCTACCTTTCTTTCACTGTTCGTTATATCTACACAAAATTGGCATGTGGGTTTCATTAGGTAAGAATATACATGGCTGTACCTTGACACATTCATTGTGCAGGGGTACACCAATCCAACGTATCAGAACTCTGGAAACAAAATTAAGGCTTTTCCCTTTTCCACATTAGGAAAAAACAGTTATAATGTTGGAGTATATGACCACATTTATGACCCAGGAAACAGGAAAATCGAAACACGGAGAGGAGGAGCTCATAGAACAAACTGGGACTGCTTTACTGAATGGACTGGGGAACTTGTTGGATATTACCTCTCACGAGGCAAGGGATGGCAACAGCGTGGATGAAGAATCATTGTTTGTCAGTACCCCTGCGAGAAGAGAAAAGGTAAAAATACACTATTCAAGAACCATCGTCAGTTATAATCGATAGACATCAAAATAAAGGATTTAAAAATTCAGTGGTACAGGCCCGAAGCGATCACCCGACATTTGGTGAAATGCTGCTCTTTCTAGGTTACCAATTTCCAAATTGAAACAACCCCTTGGAATCAAACACAAAATAATCAGCGGACATAAATATGACGGAGATTTCGACGCATACGTTCTTTGCCTTATTACTAAATACTGTATTGCGAGAAAACTATGCGAAGTCTTGGGTAAATGTATTTATTTCTTACTTACAGTCTATATAATATAGTATTGTTTAAATCTCTAGAGTAAATCATATTCAACACAAATCCTGGACCTTGTGAATCGCGTTGGCAGCAATGTGGAGGCTATAAAAGAACTTTATGAAAAACCAAGCGTTCTTAAGACCCGGACCCTGTCCATGGTTATTGATCGTCAAACTCCCTCTAGAATTGGCAGCAAGGCTTTGGAGGACGAGAGCTCGAAAGTCGTCATACCCTCTATTGAACAGCTAGTAGGAGACGATGGAAATCTCGGGCAGTATCTATCAAGTCAGGTAAGTCTTCCCAAAAAATTTTCAAAGATTAAATTTTTCGAAATAATCCATGTAGGGTAACCATGCTGTACTCAAATTTTTTGACTTACGGGGGTATTACGGTTGGTTTTTTGAGGAAATGATGTTGATTTGGGAAGGAAATAAATTAGGGTAGAAAAGGTATACACATAAACCAGTTAGTCCGGTAGTAGGATCAGAGGCACCTTGTTGTGGTGGTGGACCATTTGGTAATTGTCTACTTATTATTTACTTCATATTTTAATAATCTTTATTAACCCCCAAATCCAATATTTTCCCAAGTTCCCAAAATTTTAAACATCTCCCCTCCTAAATTTTATACATTAAAAACATCCGAAAAATCTTCCAAAATTTCACAAATAATTATTGAATTAAGGACTGTAACTTAATTGAGTCATTTTCGGATTGAATGAAATCTTGGCTAGATGTTTAAGAAAAAGGGTGGAAATCAACGAACTGTACTGCTCCCTTAAGGCATAACGCCATGTAGGAAATGTCGAGTTACATTAGGGTCATGAAATCATGGTGTTAGCTTTGATAATAAACTGATTAGGGGGACTTGACAACAGAGGAACACGATAGTCTTGAAAAAAGAAGAATACAATGTTTTAATTCAAGAGAATTAAAACAGCATAACGTACATAATATAATTGAGAACAAACAATAGATGCAACAGATAAGATGATAGAACTGATGTCTTGACAACCGAAAACACAGCAGGGTTGTCAGTAGAACAATACAGAGGACCTAACAATACAAAACCAAAATTGAACAACAAAATCCAATCGTAGAGAGCTGAACGAGGCTAAGTAAAGGTGGAGTACTCTTTCAAGTAACCTTTTGTTTTATTATTTTTATTAATCTTCAGTTAGTGACATTTAAAAGCAACCCTTATACTTGGGACACTAGTGCCAGTGATATCAAATCTGTTGTTCTTGACTTTGAACTGAAAGACGAAAATGGCCACAGAATCAATATCTACAACCTCGAGCAGGAGGTGGAACTTTTTCTATCTCCACCTAACCAAAATGTAGAAAAAGTGAAGGAATACTTCGTAAAGCCAAGCAACAACGGAACGATGCAGTTCCACAAGTTGGAGTTTCCAGGAGCCGAGTATGCTATCTCCATCAGAATTGTTCCTATAGGTAATGAAACCCTTAAGCTATATTTACGGTACGCGCAGAGACCGACGCTCACGAATTACAGTTTTACAGCGACTGTTCCAGACTACAGCTCTTGCAATTATTCCGTGGAGAAAGGCTATACAAACTGTACTTCTGACATTTTTACGGTGACTGTCTCCTCTGCTACAACGGGACATACAGGGCCGCACTACCTGGGTGTAGCCAATGAAAGACTTTCCAATCAAGAAAAAAGCAATAGCAGCTCACGAGGTCAAATGAAGCGCGTAAGGCGAGATTGCTCGCATAAAGGTCGTCAAAAGAGATCCTGTGTAGGTGTGAAGGATCCCCCAACCACTCCTCCTCCAGTTCTGGTAATAACGCAACCATACAACGCAAGTACGGATGTAAATTACACTTTACAGGTGAGCATGGCGACATGTCAGTATTGGAATGTTACTGCACAAGCGTGGACCACGGAGGGATGTAAGGTAGGTCATACAGGTCTTATTTGATAGCAAAGTCAAGTCTTATTTCATAACTAAATTCTTAAAATATTACCCTGGAAAATGTCGGATGAAAATTAATTTAACACGAGAATTATCTGAGGCATTAAAAAGCATAAAGCATGTTTTGAAGAAAGCCGTACAGCCCAAGCCTTTAATGGTTGTGGGAAAAAATAACAGTGCTGAATACTTACAAATGGTCGACAATTTAGATCCAGGTAATTTACTATCGCCACTTAGGTAGTACAAAACCACTGACAGTAAAATGGGGTGTTCAATAAAAACCCATTCTTGCTGTAATCTTTAACTCCGTGTTTGTTTTGTTTGAAACTAGGTTGGACCAGACTCTAGACCCAGAGCTTTACAGTGTCTGTGTAACCACTTATCGTCGTTTGGTGGAAACTTTCTTGTGGCTCCAAACCCAATAGACTTCGATTACGTGTTGAAACAGTTTCCTAACATCTTCGATTCTGGAAACGTGGTTGTCTTAGCGACCGTGTTGTCCATATTTGGTTTGTGGTTTATTGGGCTCCTTATTGCTAGACGAGCTGACGAAAAGGATGCATGTAAGGCAAGTTATTTGTCCACCTGGCCTACTTATCACATTCGATCAGATTTCAAGGGACGTATGTTTCCAAAGATCAGAGAACTTTCCAAAACATACCCGGTATTCGGGTAACTTCTGACTAATCACTGTTATTCTTTTTGTGTTCTTTTGACAGGCAGTTGAAAATCTTCGCCTTCAAATGGAAGGGGGACGCATGTTTGAGTTATCAGTGTATACTGGTATATGGAGAAGATCCGGTACATCAGCCAACGTCGCTATGATCATATACGGGGAGGAAACTCGCAGCGAAACTCTACATCTATTCGACAGATATAGCGACAAAAAGCTGTTTGCTAGAGCAAGCATCAACAACTTTTTGATTTCTCTACCAGATAATCTGCTGTCCCCGATCATGATCAAAATTTGGCATGACAACTCCGGTAATAACCCATCCTGGTACATCAGTCAAGTTGTAATGAGGGACCTGGAATCAGAAGAAAAATGGTTTTTTCTTTGCAATCGGTGGCTTGCAGTTGATAAAGAGGACGGAGAGGTCGAAGCTGACATACCACTCGCAAGTGAAAGAGATCTCTCCAAGTTCAAGTACAAGTTCTTCACTCGGGCGTCAAAGAGTTTAAGCGATAGCCATTTGTGGCTTTCTGTTGTGACCAGGCCACCTCATAGCCCATTTACACGTGCACAGAGACTTTCATGCTGTGTCTGCGTGTTGTTAACTGCGATGCTCGCAGGAGCAATGTTTTACCAGTTTGGTGAAAAACAAATGGACACGCACAAGTTTGGTCCACTCAGATTCAGCTTAAACCAGCTTGTCATAGGCGTCCAAAGTGCTTTGATCGTTGTTCCTTTAAACTTACTGATTGCAACTATATTTCGAAACATCAAGATTTCAAACGACAAAGAACGGAACTCACGTTATGCGCAAAATGAAGGCTCAAGTCCTAGCGCTACTAATTTAAACAAACGTCCTGGGTGTCTTCCACATTTCTTTGTATATATTGCCTGGTCACTTTGCATTCTTTCTTCGCTTGCAGCAGGGACATTCATCATATTCTATAGCGTTCAGTGGGGAAAAGAAATAGCTAACCAGTGGCTTACGTCCGCTCTAATCTCTGTTATCCAAGATATAGCAGTCATGCAGCCAATAAAAGTTATCGCTTTGGCTTTATTTCTTGCACTGATCCTCAAGAAACCACCCGAGGAAAAGACCGCACAATCTTTTCATGATTCCACTTTAAGCGATGACCAAAGCATTAAAGTTATAGCCCCGAAGGGAAACGAACTCACCAAAGCAAGAAAAACGAGGGAAAGCGTTGTAGAGACCGTCAGTACTCTTGCTGAGATCGTGATGTTTTTAGTGTTTGGCATTTGTCTCTTTCTGGTAGTGTATGGTAATCGAGGATACAGTCGTTACCGACTAACAGCCAGTCTCGAGAACGTTTTTAAGGAGTCATTTGAAGAGGTGAAGGGCCCTAGAAATGTTTGATAAAGCTCCTTATAATTAATAGTGTGACGGTGATATTTTCACTATGCTAGAGTAGAAGTGGCAAAAAGCGTGGAATGGAACTGAAAGGGTGGGAGAAGTATTCCAAAACGTTTGCTTCAGGCATCGGGAATTGCACACTGGGAAGGTCTTGTTGGTGGTCGCTAAAACAAAGCATTGCAGTTATTTCCGTTGCCCAAATGCCCAATGCCAGATTGCTAATGATCAGTTGCCGAAGCAACCCTTGTTGAACTAGGTATGGATGTGGAAATAAAAAAATCAAGCACGAGACTAAAATTGCAGCGACTCAGCTACAAGCTGAAATTGAAGAAATTTTCTGAAAGTTTGCCGATGCCTCTTTTATGGGCCACCAAAAAAAGTATTAATTTTCAGGGAATATTTGTGGCTTTTGTCTTCAAGGTTGATTCTACAGATGCATTCTGGGGTTGGATCGAGGAGTCATTTATTCCTGGAATTTATGACACTACGTGGTATAATGACCAAAGTTTTGTTGCTCCGGAAGGATTTCTAAGCACTCGAGAAGCATTCTTAGTGGGCATGCCTAGATTCAAGCAAACTAGAATTAAAGAAGGTAGGGTTTAGTAAGGAGATAGTTAGATAATTAACACAGACACTGATAAATACCGGATAGGCCATAAAATTTCTCTTCTTGATCACAAAGCCTCGTCGCAATGATAGACTTTCTCCAGTGTCTCTGGCAGAAAAAAAATCCAATATTACCGCATTGTACCTTTTTGCTGCCGAAGCGTACATGTAAATAGCAAATTGTAAATATCTCATTTTCCGCTCCCCTCAGGGCTTTTCAGGGAAAATTGTAAATATCTCATTATTTACTTCACTCAAGGTTTTTCAGGGAAAATTTACAACCCTGGTTGGGGGACTTTTGTCCGACTTCTTTTGGCGCAGTTTACAAGTAATGGACGGAAGTAAAGAGTTATAAATACCCCCTTACGTGAATGTGATTTTGAGATAGACCACCACATCGTGGACAAAGTCCTGTGCCTCTTTGAACCGTTGTGCGTTCTTTAACGTCCCAAAGAATGTATTATGCGTGCACAGGTTGTGAGAAGGGGTCTACTGTTTATCGCCCTTATCCCAGAAAACTAGAAATTTCTCCTCATTCATTTGAAGGACCGGTGTATTGTTCCAGCTGGTGTTTGAAACAGCGGCCTCCCGCTCGACAGAACGTTGCCTGCGTGCAGACGTCCAGTTTCCTCACGCACACAGGCTAAGCAGAACGGCGCTTATCCAGCTAAGCTTATCTTGCAACCGTTAAGTAGAATCTCTTCGAAGAGCCTAATTCACAGTCCCTGAAGCTTGTAGGGACGTGAATATCATGTTCATTTCTGTTCATTTCTTCTTTTAGTAAAAGCATGCAAGACTGCCAAAGTTTACTCGGAGGTAGAAGCCATTTTCGGGCGATGCATTCCACGATATTCACCACATAATGAAGACGATACACGTTTTAATCTACCTGGGTGGGTACCAGTGACGAATATCAGTAAATATCACTCTGTATATGAACTGCGGAGACTCTGCCCGAAGCCTTGGCGGTATAATACATCAGCGGAGCTTGATACTCTGTCATATTCCGGAAAGCATGCTAAGTATGAAGGTGGAGGATACATTGCTGATCTCGGCTACAATTCTCGAACAGCGTCTCGAGTTGTTCGTAACTTGGAAAGCAACGATTGGATTGATGAAAAGACCGCAGCTGTCTTGATAGAATTTACCGTTTTTCAGCCTTCGACGTCTTTGTTTAGCGTGGCAAAGCTTCTTTACGAAGTTATTCCTACTGGAAAACCAGAAACCCGAGCACGTTTTCACACGCTTTCCATATATGGTACTTCTGATCCCAGACTGCGTTCTCTCTTCGTTGCCTGTGAAATTATCCTGTTAATTTTAGTCGCTTATTTTCTTATACTCGAGGCTGTAAAGATTTATCGCCAAGGCTGTTCGTACTTTGTATCATTTTGGAACTGGATGAATTTGCTTCAACTCGTCTCAGCAATCATAACAATTGCATTCTTCTTTTTCAAGGAGAAGTATATTTCATCGTTTGTAAAACGAGTACAAGCGAACCCTTTCGAGACAGTGAGTGTTGACTACGCCCTCTTCTGGTCCGATCTGGAGCTACTTGTATTGTCAGTAGTTGTGTTCGTTGTCACCGTAAAATTTCTACGGCTAATTCGGTTCAACAGACACGTCTGTCAAATGGTTGCCTCCCTCAAGATTTCGTCCCCTAACGTGGCGTCCTATTCTGTTCTGTTTTTCATTAACCTGATCTCGTTTGCACTCCTTGGATATCTTGTGTTCGGGAATGACAATATATCGTACCATTCATTCATAGACGCGTTGGGCACCCTTATTCAAAAGTTCCTTGGAGATGAATTGTATTTTTATGAACTTCAGTACAGTAACCGTATCTTGGGTCCAACTTACATAATCAGCTTTATGCTCAGCATGACATTTATCCTCATCAACATGTTTTTGGCGATTCTAAACGACTCCTATGAAAGCGTCAGGGAACTTTCGGGCGGTAAATTTGCAGACGCAGAGCTTGGTGATTTCATCAAGGAGTACTACTTAACGAGAATCCATCGCTTGCATGAAATACTGAAGCGAAAGCTTGGAAATGTTGGCTTTAGACATAAACTATATGACAGGTCTAGAAACGAATCGAAATCACAGATAAAAGGAGACAGTGTTGGTAGTTTCACGTCATTACCTTCTGATTACCCTGCTATCGTTGAAACGTGGGATCCTGTAAACTCCTCATCTTCTAAGCTTGCCTTACTAGAAAATGAGAAGACTGCTAAGTGTGTAATCAGTACTGAAGCTATCTATGTTAATGAGGTAGCCATGGAGGGAGATCAACCTGATTTCCAAAGCAAGCCGCCCTCTGTCGCCTCTGATGACGGTTCTAACGAAGAACTTTTAGATCTCTTGGGTGATTTACCCGAAGCTTTACTCGCGCCAACGATCGCTTCGCAAAAGACTGTGTCTAATGAAGATTTCATAGATCTGTTGGGAGACCTTCCTGAGTCCATGGTAGATGACGATGAGACAATCGATAATGTTCGCAAGCGGCTTGCTGATGTTGGTGCAGTTGTGAGGCTCAACAAAAATACCCTCAGAAGATTTTCAACGACCGGAGACAAATACATTGTGCAGACGAATGTTCAGATGATGGGACCGTCGGTTGCTTTAACCTTAAGACCAAGGCTAGAAAGTAAACCACTTGTAATCCCGAAATGACTGACTACAGTTACATTTTGGTCTTGTTGAAAACACAATGAAATCAGGTTGTTACATTGTTGAAAACACAATGTAATTTGCGAAGGTCATAATATTTAATATTAATATCTTAAGAACTTGATTATGTTCAACTCAAGATACATTTAACATGGATGTGTAGGTTCAATTACGTTATGGAAGTAATCTCAATTCTTTCCTATCTGTTCATTGCAAACGTCACCTATTAACAGTTTTCACGCAATAATGAAATAACTTTTAGTAAGGCCAGATCACTCTGAGGAGGGATTAAAAATATGTGAAAAGCAGCAAGAAAACTTACTGACTGTCACATTGTATCTTGCTGAGGTGTCCCACTAAGAAGAACCATGCTCCCGTGCATATTATTTCAGAAAACGCGCAACGTGGTTTTAAATCTTTTTGTTCTGTTATTTTGGGAAATTCTGGTCTAAGGAGTTTTTGCCGGTTTCCCAAATTGTTGGGCTATATAGGTGGATATGGGAATTTACCTGATTTCCAGTCATGTCTTTGGGGGTATTTTTCCAGCTAAATACCTTCACTTACAGTTGCGCCGAAACGTTTTCTCTGTAGACTACGAGCAGTCCCTCATCAGGGATAGTTGAGAGGACGAAAAAAGCAAACACGCGTGCAAATTGTCACGCGGGGAAAAGCGGAAATTGTTTTAAGGAGCTTATTTTCTATCTTCTCTCCGCGAATTTCTCCCTCTCGGGTGGCGATTTTTGTGTGCATTCGCGTATTTCGGTCGCTCGTAGTCTATTTCCCTCGCATTTCCATGAGTTTGGACGACCAGACAAGGAGCCTATGCTCTGGCAGTTAAAGAAAACAGCTGTTAACTCACAGTTTACCCAGTTGACCGAGTTAGATCTCTGTTGAGCATACGCTGCATGTTACTAGGATAGAGACCTAATAGCCGTTTCCTTGGTTTAGCGAAATCTGTTATGACCATCGGTTTATCAATCAACAGATAGTCGTACTCGAAAAACCTGCTTGACTAGACCAGATTCTAGAAGTTTGGGCTGCGGCGACTTCAAAGACTTAACGCGATTCTGGCAGAGCCTCCTTTTATCTCCTCACTGAAGAAGGCAAATAGAGGCTCTGCTTGCAGGGCGCCAATTATAGTGGATAATAGAATGATTAAGACGATAGGAAAGGATAGTTTGAAAAAAAAAAACATTCTTTTTTGCCCTCTTTTAATTAGACCTAGGATCTTGTTGGCCTTATTCGATATTCTATCGTTATGAGTGTCCAAGACAGACTACAATTGGTTAGATGTTAGCTCCAGGATATTATTATCTTAGTGTAAGTCAGAGTGAATAGGTGTTTTCCTTTTAGTAATTTGCATTAGTTTATATTTCTTCACGTTAAACTCCATGAGGTTTTGTGGACTCCATGAATATGAATTGTTGAGATCTGACTGAAATACGGAATGATCAGCTGGACAGTTTATAATCCTGGATGTTTTGCAGTCGTCAGCATATAATGGCAGACAGTTTCCAGGTATTACTACTTCAGGCAAATCACTAATAAAAATTACAAAGAACAAAGGGCCCAATAAGGAGCCATGACGTACGCCCGATGGAATAGCACACTATGTAGAACTCATTCCTTCAATGACTACTCTCTGTTCTCGGTCAGTGAGATAATCCTTACACCAATTCAAAAGCGCACTGGATCGGAGATACCAAAATCACACCAATTATTCAGCAGGGTATTATGTGCCACTCTGTCAAAAGCCTTTTCAAAGTCCAGGCAAACAACGTCCACCTGTTTGCCCTCATCTAAGGTCTTTGACCATTGATGGTGTGACAGAACTAACTGAGTAGTACATGAACGTCCCCTCACAAACCTAAGCTTCCAATCTGTCAGATAGGGAGCCACGTGCGAATATACAGCATTATACACAATCCTCTCTTGACATTTACTCGGAATGGGTAGTAATGAACCTGCAAGACGCTTAAGTGTAATATTTCTTTAATGATTTTACGGTAAAACCCATGTGTGTCATCATCTGTTGTTAATGACCTATGATCTCAAATTTGCGCTCCTCTGAGAACGCGTCCAGCGTACGATGGCTGTTCAGAATAAGGGCGTTACAACACAGGTAGCCCAAGCTCGAAATATGAGCATCGGCGAGCATCGGCATCGTTGCGTAACATTCAAAATATAAGAATGTGTATGGGAGAAAAAACCTATTGTTTTTGTAACCAACGAAAATGAAAGGATTTCAATAAAAACCAGTTAGAGAGAAAACCGTTTACATAAAAACCCATAAAACGGCCATAAATCGGCCCGTGGACCACACAGCAGAGATTTAAGACACATTTTAAGTAAGGTAAGCTGTTTTTTTATTGACAAAAAACAGAATTTCCGAAGACTTCCGGACGTTGCCGAAAATGTCTGCAGATGTTCCCGAAGACATTTGAGCACTTCCGAAGCTACTTAAAAGACGACACTTTTAGCGTGCTTTGATATGATTTCGTTAGAACACAAAAAAGGACACAAAGTCATCATGTGTCAAGAACAATTTGTCCGGATTTGTTTGTCAGGCGTGAGAAATTGTCCTTGATGCGTGACATCGATGTCTTTAGTCCACAGGCGTAACCGCTTAAACTTAATTGTTAACAAACATTGCGCAACTTTTACAAAACTCTTTTGAGCGGACACTAGCCTGCGAGCAAGCTCCCCTATTTGGGCAAGCGAAGAGAGCCTCGCGAGAAGGTCCCGAAGGTGTTCGCTTAATAGAGGTTTCATTGTATTCTGAAGGTATAAATTTTGATTGGCTTAATGGTTGGCAATGTTGGACTCTGGCCAGCAAAAACGTTTGAGTGGAGGAGAGTAACACAAGGCTTGAGAAAAGCCAAGTGCCACTTGAAATGCTTGCATTGGTGGCATCTGAGCTCTCGAATTTAGCAAAAATATAATAATTCTTTATTGATAAATAAGTACACAAAGCACAAGTTAACGATAATAAGATGCCAAAGCCAGAGGCTTATATGGCGTAGGTCAGAGAGTTACAATGTGCTGCTAAGTTACAATGAGAATAAAAATTAATAAGTTCAAAATTTACAGAGAAAAGGCAAACTATTACAACATATAAAGAATTATTACTGCTTATAAAGCAAGATAAACATAACAATTAATCATTAGTGTGCAAAAAGTAATAAAGAAAAGAGTTTGAAGGGAGAAAAAAATAAAATAAAAATAAAAAAAATAATAATAAAGAAATTGAGCTCAACCTAGTTTAAACTTATAATGATTGAAAATGATCTCTCAGTTTATGCACCTATCAATGTAATGTCGGCGGGGGGGGGCAGGGCATAGGGTGGGGATTTGACTTTTTTCAAAAATTTGCAATCAAATTCCCTGCCCACGGGCAAATCATTCCAGTCAAATGCAACCAAATTTCCCCACCCCAGGCTGCACATAGCTGTCAGTCCCAAGGCAGAACCTAAGAAAGGCACAATAAAAATATCTCCAAATATAACTCTGCAATCTTTTATAAACTTTGCTGCATCACCAAAGATACATGTTCCTGTTACAGCTGCAATTATACGTTTTAACCATAATCCGTGTCACACTGGGTAGAATACATAAACATTTAGGAGAAAGTCCACATTTTGTAAGTCTAGATATACCGTTCTTAGTAAAGGGTACAAACAAAGTCAGTTTTATCAGTGATTGTGGCGAACGAGCCATACACTAATCAACTGTACTTGCAAAAATCGGCTCGGTTTCTCTTTACTTCCGTTTACTTTGATACCACATTATATTAACAGGTTCAATTGATCAAAAACACCCTAAAACAAACGAAATTTGAAGACAAAACAGTGAGGTCCACTCAGTCTTCGCTTGCTCTCATTGGCCTCCATGACTTCCTGATCTTTTCAAACCGTATGGCGCGTGCGTGAAGCGTAGAAGCGGGAAACATATGTTCGGTCTCAGTCTTTTTCGTGCGAGTCGGCAGTCAAATATCTCCACGTCGGGCGAAGAAAGATTCAAATATCCCCTCCCCCGGGAGAACAAGATCAGTCAAATGCCCTACCCCAGGGACAACAAAGACAATCAAATCCCCACCCTATGCCCTGCCCCCCCCCTCCGGCTTTACATTGATAGGTGCATTATGTTTATAACTAGAAAGAGTAAGTGAATTACGAAGTGAGAGAAGAATGCCATTCCAAATTTGAGGACGCTGTACCCGAAGAGAAAAAGAATATTTGTGAGTATGAACATGTAAGTTGTCTTTTTGCCTGGTGAGATATTGATGTCAATCAGAGTTAAGAACGAAAAGAGATGAAAGAGGAGACGGCAAGAGCTTCTGCATGTGAAGGAAAACAAAGCAAGAAACTTGGTACTTATAAATATTAAATATGTTGAGTATTTTGCATTTGTTAAAGAGCGAGTAAGTGTGTGCACGTGGTGGAGAATGAGTAATGATTCTTAAAGCTTTACTCTGGAGACGGAAAAGGGGTTGTAAATGAAAAGAGTATGTGGATGCCCAAATAATAGAACAGTATTGAAGATACGGGAGTATTAAAGAGTTGTATAATGTGCAAAGAGTATTAGAAAGGAAAAACTGTCGTGATTTGATAATAATCCCAGTGGATTTGGCAATTTTGGAAGAAATCGCTTTTATATGAGCCTGCCATGAGCGGTTTTGATGGATGATAACACCTAAGAATTTTGTGTGTTCCACTCTATTAATACTATTCTTATCAATGTTAATAGAAAGACCATCAAGATTTATTTTCTTTATTGCAGGGTGAAACAAAATAAACTTAGTCTTGTCGGGATGCAAAGTTTACTTGTTAGCTTTGAACCAGGTAGCCACAAAAGAAAGTTCATGGTTCACAATTTTATTTAGTTCAGAGATATTTTTGTGTTGAAAGAAAATGTTAGTGTCGTCTGCAAAAAGGATAAATGAGAGATAACAAGAATCGCCGAAAGGCGATTTTTAACTGGGCTGCGAAGGGGCTATTTTTCTG